ACACACACACACACACACACACACGCCTACCTTCCCTGCCAGCCATCCCAGGTGTCGTATCTCTCTGCTGCCAATCCCCGTCCTGGCTGTGTTCTGGATGACCTCTGCCAGTGCCCGCTGTGGTGAGATGACAGTTTTTAGGATGGATGATCCTCTGGAAAGTGTTAGATCCTAAGCAGCTCTGCAGGAGCTAAATCACACCCGTTGAAAGATCTAATTCTGATAGTGACACTAATGAAGAGAAAAAAATCAATCAAACCAAAGACGAACCTGTGCCAGTGTGGATGTGACAGAGTGCATGGCAGAGAACCAAGACAGGGCAGATGGTTGATCCGGGCACCGCAGCACCACAGTGTGCCTGGCGTCAGGGGAGTGCAGCTCCAGTTGTCTGGAAAAGAAGATTAGACAAGTTCAAACAGCTTTAACCTCTCCGTTATCATTGATGGGCTCTAAAACTTCTGCAGTTCATTTTGAATACATAAATTTATCACAAGCCTCGTCAGGTCGACCCAATTTGACTCAGTGTAGTCTCAACTCACACAGAAGCCAAATGTTTAGCTCTGAGAGACGCTCGTTTGTCTCATCCGCCTGAGAAATGGAACGCGGTCAGAGCGATGAAATAAAGAGCACCGATATTTCTGTTTATTCAAGTCAATGCATCCTCTTTGGGCCATATGACACAATACAGTCTCCCACTGAATTTCCATAACTAATCTGCTTATATCATATGGGAGAATTTGTGGCCTCGAGGGAAATGCATTTAGGAAGCTCTCCGTCTAGCTGAATGGCTCTTTGATTGTGCACTCAATGAATATGAATTTTAAGAAGCTACATGTGGCAGCCGTTACAGAGCATAATGCGGTGTGTGAATGTTTTTTGTAGCGTCAATTCAGTCGGCGTCAATGTGTGTGGAGTGAAACCACAGGAAAAAAATACTGCAAACAGGTACGTTAAAGCAAAGGTTAGATGTCTTCTGTCCTTTTTGGAGAAGGAAGGAACAAACCACATTATAATTTACTTTGACACACATTATTAATTATAACTGACTCAGAGGCTTATACCCTTTCCACACAACATTTTGAAAAATTAACTTTTTCCCATGTGTATGAGCCACTCATCCACACACAAACAGTATTTTTCATCACTAGAACAGAGTTTTAATTTACACTTTAAGTGCAGATATTCAAAACTCTGGTTCCTGCATGTGTATCCGTAAGATTTGTAAACTCCACTGTTTGTCATCATTTGGTCGAGAAACCTTTAAATGTAGGGCAGAATATAGATGTGTTAAGTTTTAAATCTCACATCAGCATGAGGTTGTTGTGTAGTGAATGAAATGTGTCGACAGTATGGTCAGTAAACCTGCTGCAGGGAGCACCCAGGGTAAATTTGTGGGAATACAGATTCAGTTTCAACTCATGGCACGAATGGAAATGAATTCTTGATCCGGTGAGTGCATACCACCGACTCTGAAACACTCTAGCATGTGTGTAAGCGTCCCTTCGGTGTCCAGGTGGTCCTGGTGTTTAAAAATAAAGAAACCACTCTAAACCCAGCGTGGTTTCAGTTCTGCAAACATGCAGCTTTCTGTATTCACACGCACAGAGACTCTGGGGACCAGGAAAGCCCCAGTATGTGATGAATCTGCTCTTCCATAAATCCTCAGAGGCCTGAGAGAGCATCTAGATCAGCTCCAGGTGTGTTACTCTGTTCTTGTTACTGGGTTAAAAATAGAAGTGGTGCCCGAAAGAGGCGAGTTCATTAAAGACAGGCCTGGAAGGGGCACGAGGGGAGGACTGGGGGAGACTCCAGGACCCGAGGTGTGTTTGGTGGACGAGGACGTGTCAGTCTGACTCCCACAAGTTATACAAGACTTTATCTGCCATTTTCTGGAGCGGCCAAGTTCTCTCATTTCTTGCATGCATGACACAGGAATGTGGGAACATATATAGGGGATCAGGGGGAGAACAGCTAACGGACCGGATGAGGTGGATTTGAGTGTCTTCTGGTCCTGCGTGCTTGAAGATTAGTCTCAAACTTCATCAAAGCACAGTTGTCCTCAAAGGATTATCGCTGCATACATACAGCAAATATGTATTCAAGCTCGCCATCTCTATTCCAGCATACAGATGTGCACTAACTCTAAATATTCATTCATGAACTCTTTGTGCATACATTACGGTTTGATGAAAGAGAGCGTTTAGCTTTTAAAACAATAACAAAAGTTACAGCACTGCAGGAAGTCTTATCTTTCATAAAATAAAACCAATTCAAAATATAAAATCAATATTTAAAAAATAATATGATCGGAAATAAGCAAGAAAGGAAACTCAATGCACACAGACTCCATCCAGAACTGTTTTTACGTCTTTTTCAATTAAGTCTTGAGTCAAAACAAACCTGGCGCCTGGTCTCAAATCTTAAGCTGCAAATCTGTCTGAGTTCTGACTTTAAATGATTTGACATTTAAACATTGTTCCCTGAAAGTTGCGTGATGTAATTTTTTAGGTAGCTGAGTCCATTCAAAGCAAAGGCCTAACAATTAAATATTCAACATATGCTCGGCCCATGTGTTGCTGTATTATTTATATTTTGTACGGTTCTGGGATTTTAACAGATACAACAGCATTAAGTTGGGACTCTCGTACGGCATAAAACTCACAGACTGACATATCCTGACTTTGTCACGTTGAATCCAACACTCAACATGACACTCAATGATTGATCAACAGAGAAGCAATAACAAGCTGGTCTGATATTTAACTAATCATTGAAATTGTTTTCAGGTTTCAACTCTGGGAAATTGGGTCCTGACATTTTACCAGAGTTTTCCTTTAACATATGAAAAATCAGCAGGAGACTATCTGGGTCAGACGTGTTCGAGGGTGGCACCCAAGTAAAACATGCCAGAGGCAGGATATGAAGTATAAATTGTGTTACTGTTGAAGTCACAATTCTCAACACTGGTGTCAGCGCATGTCCCCAAAAGCTCTACATTCTCAAGTTGATATCTCCGTCAGCATCTCCTGCATGTATGGCTCCTCTTTTTTATTCAGAGATATTTGTATTCTTCCAGCTTCCTGTCTGTCACATGTTAGAGAAGTTATCAACACGCCCACTTGCTCACTGTGAATTTTCTGGATGTTTTTTTTTTGTTGTTTCCTCACATGGGCTCACTCAAGCAATTTGCTTGACAACATTTTACTTGGGGCCTGGCAGGAAACGTTCTGGAAAATATCTGGAACAACTGACTCAGATGGTTGTGTTCTCTCATACAGTCCATCAGTAAAATGTCTGGACTTCAGTGCATGACTGAAAGCAGCATAGGAGCCTGGGTTGAAAAAAACCCAAAAAATTATAAATCAGTAATGGAAATAATCCTGACTTGGAGTCCTAAAATTTTATTTTTGTTACCCCAACTGACCCATGTTTTTTCTAAAATGTGAAGTTGATAAGTCCAAGGAGAGATAATTCTGATACCATCATGGGGGTTATTCCTTTTAAACGTCACAAAGCTTCATCAAGGTCCAGAAAAATCTTTTTACAACTCATAATCCCAATCGCTTCATCACAAGTGATAAGGATGTCACAATTTTTTCTTAATTTCATTTGTTTTAAATTTGAGAGAAAGCAACACTTTGTCATCACATGTTCAGGTGAAAAATTATTTATTCTCTTCTTTCATCTTTTCTCCACATGTTTCCCACCCCTGCTCATATCGTTCTATCCTCTCAGGCTTAAACTCACTGCTGAAATGAAAACAGAAACCCTCAGAGATCTGCAACATTGAGCTGAGGATTCCAATGCCACTTAACATAGAGCCTTTTAAACCAATTTGGCTCTGAAACCTCAAAATAAGAAAAGAGAGTAGGTTTTATCTTTCTCTGCGATATTTAACTTTCTGTGACCATATGACAACCCATGGACATGGATTAAACACAGTGAACCAAATTCAACATTGGGTGTCCTATTCAAACATTTACTAAATATTTACCAATGAGTCAAAGCGGAATTTGTCCTGGCTGCAAGGAACTTCATAAAAAACAACTTGTCAAGGTCAATTTAGCAGATGACTGTGTGTGTGTGTGTGTGTGTTCGGTGTGTGTGTGTGTGTGTGTGTGTGTGTGTGCGTGCATGTGTGTGTTTGCCCTAGGGCTTTATCAAACCACAAAGCAGTCTGTTATCTGTGAGAAGCAAAAACTCATCATGTCATCAGATGAGACTTCTTGTAAAAGTGAAGGACCAATAAAGTTATAGCAAATGAAGACAATGTTCAACTCATTGTGCTCTTAATATGTCATCTAAGATTTGTACATGTACAGGTCATTGCTTCACTGAGAATTTTGAAAGATATAATCACATTTTATTGCAGATTTTTTGTCAGTTGTACAGATTAATATGTCTGAACAAGTGAATCCAGTCACGTCCTCACAGACCTTTGTAAAAACCTGTCAATGTCCTTTTTCTGAAAAACTGGCACCATCGGGTCAGTTTTAAAAAACTGTTTCCACCTAGAACCTTTCCTTTATTTTTCAGTTCAAGATTCTCATAAATGGAGCTTGGAGTGGGATTCACAGACGACAGTATGTCCATCTTGTGACGTCACTTGTGGAAGAAGCTGAATTACCAGCCTGGAAAACATGGCAACTGTTCCCGGGGCCTCAGGGCAGCAGCTTCACTGGAAATGAATCTGGGGTTATATAATCAACTTCAACTGTTTGGGAATCAGCTGACATGATGAGGATCTTGAGGTGGTTTCTTTTTTATTGCCTGATCTGCATTGTGTCAAATCTATCTTAAGCCTGGTTTCGTTTAGCACAGCTATAACATACCTATTGAAATGATATGTGTTATTTGTGTCATTCATACACAAAGAGATGTCTTGAAAGGACAGTTTGTTTTCTTGTCACCTGGCAACCAGCGAAGAGGTGGGCAGATACATATACTGTTGATTTTGAAGAAATAGTTTTAGCATGGAACTACCTCTGAAACTTGTCTGCTTACATTGTATAAATAAGTGAGTCATAATGTTTTAGTAAAGGAGCATCACCACAGACTGTACATAAAAACAGACTGTGGGTGTAGAAAGTGAAGTCAATGTAGGGCCTCAAACCTGCATTCTATTGCATAACCAGTAGAGGGCGACTACTCTACTTCCGACTCGACCCTCTTGCAGAAGAAAACAACTGATAATAAATTACATTGGTGAGCCTGTTGTCTTTGCTAAGAGCTGTTAACAAGGCTACACTGCTTCTATGTGTAGAAGACAAGTTATTATTCCTGTTGACACCTTCACATGTATGGCTAGTGTAGGCAAGTGGTCACATGATATGTGTTTTCAGGCGTGTTGGTATGAACTGGAATTATAACTAATGCAGCTCCAAAAGTTTGAGTTTGAAAATGCTGTTTTCAGATGAGTAGTATAGATGTAGCCTCAGCTAACAGCCTCCACTACCTCCAGGGTTGAGGCACATACATGTATGAATGGTACTGATGTTCTCATCAAACTCTAGGCAAGCCCACAGTCATGTTTTAATCCAGTAGAGGACTATTGTACACAGGGGGTCCTACGCAGGGGGCTCAGGAGCTACTTTTCGCCCTGAGCCCCCCCATCAGCTTCATAAAGCTATACTCAATATTTGATGCTCCTTCAAAACTAGTGTGAGCATGGCTTCAGATCATCCACATCTCTAATGTGAGGAGCCATGATGGTGCTTCAGGCAAAGTTCACACCTTCTCTGTTGGTAACCTGCTCCACAAAGACTGGAAACATTGCCAGCATAGACATGTGACAATTGCATTAACATCTGTTAAGAGCAATGTACTTTTTAATCTTATTTTTCCCTTGGCAGATAAAATATATTTTGCTTGCACAATAACAAGACAACGGAGAACCATCTGCTGTGTCCGTGTAACATAATCCTCTCTTTCATTTGGTGTTTGTTGTTGTTTGTTTGTGAGTGCTCGCGTTTAAATTTTTACAGTTTCGCAGTCGAACCGTCTAACAACGTCTGTACAGACAGAGAAAGCTGTCTTTGTCATTGCTCCGCTTTGATGTTTCCTCCGTCCTCTGAAGCTTTGAAAGTTGGTGAGGTTCAACTTTCTCCCACTTCTCAAATCATACACATTCAGAGGACAAGCATGGGTGGAGGAACAGCGGGTGGAGATACACAGGGAATTGTGGCAAGAGGAAAAAAAAAAATCGAGAGAGGGAGAATGATGGGAAGATGATGGAGACAGAGAAGTATTGATTTAGACGGATAAAAGATAACGCCGGGAACAAGAGATCACAAAAGAAAAAGACGGGGAGAAGACAAAAGGAGCAGAAAGACACAAACATGTGATTGAAAAACAAAACAGAAAACAGCAAAGACAAAAAGTGGGAAGGGAAACAACAGAGTGAAAGGAAAACTCAAGTAGGACAGAAAGCACACATTCACAGCTTGACACCGAAAAAGTTAGTAAATCACTTCCTTCCTCCAGTTCTATTTGATTGGGCCATTGTCATATTACCACCCAATTAACTTGATGACTCTTCCTAAAAGACCACCCCCAACTGACTCAGAATTATCTACGAATTTACTTCAAGTGTCTGTTTTTAAGAAAAAGGGAAAATGGCCTGCAATTTCTATTTTTGATAGAACACTATAAGACAATCTCTTCTGGATATCAGAGGAAGCGGAAGACCCACTGTCACACTGCTGGGGCTGAGAAGAATTAGCTTACCGGCGGTTAAAACCATGTGGTTTGTCACTATGCTTGCCTGACAATTTTCAAGCCCCATCCCTTTCAAATTGGTGGTGTGCATAAAGTTGAACTAAAACTTTAATTTTTACTTTTTCTGGAAGAATATAAATTGAGGATGCATTTCCTCTGCTGTGGCTGCCATTGTATCCCATGGTGCATAATTTCCTGTATGGAGTAACTGCCCTGAAGGATTGAAACTTTGGCAACTAAGGGCCTCTCCTTCAAAACAACAAGAAAACCCATAGTTTGATGATGTAGTGAAGCAGCGTAGGATCATGGGAGTTGATGTCTTCACCACCATAACCTGGTGAAAATCTACCACGACAAATCATGTTCATGGATGAGGTGATGTATTTAAATTGTATTCATGGTACGCAGCAAACGTCAATGAATAATGCTGATTCATAACGAGTGACCAACACAGGAAAAAACTGTCAACTGGCAAGCAGTGTGGCCACAGATAAAGCGACTATGATGCAATCAAAAAGCAATCACAATGAAACATCCATTTCTCTGGGTTTGAACATTGTTTGAAATATTTTGAAAGTATGTACACAAGTCGACAAAATATAAAACAGGTCTAGTCATGTTTAAAAATTATTATACAGAATTGTTACAAATAATTTCAATTTCAGGACTTAGTAGATAAACATAAAAGTACCCAGAACAACAACCAACAACTTGTCGGGGTTACATCGTACAACTTTTCCCAAATATCTCCTTACAATTATAGTTGTGCAAACGTGTGTCTCTTGTGTGTCTCACCTGTTCTCAGGGTCCGGCGTGGTCATTGCACGGGTTACACAACACATCTTGAGCAGTATGCACCTTCTGTCACCATGGGGAGACAGGGAGGGCAGGGTGGCGGGGCTCAAAGGGTCAGATGAGGAGGGGGAGGTGATGGGAGGGCTGCCGATGCGGGGAGACTCAGGAGGGGGGGTTTCCCAGCCGATCTCTGACACGGGGGAGCCCTTCTTGACGTACGGCGTTGCCTCGCGCATGTACTTGACTGGATAGGAAAGTAAAGACAAAAGGATTTTCAGTGTGCAGTGGATAACAGGGATGTGAAACAAGCAGATTCTTTGATTCAAATGTTCTGGAGGCACTTTTGTCCAGGTAGAGGGTAGGTTTGAACATTAATTGGCAAAACATAAAGGTATAAATCATCCGATTGTTCACAGTATTTCACAGGATACAAGTTACTGACTCATGTACTTATTTAATAGTTTGATAAAATGCTGGAGGAATGAAATAACTCTTTAAATATGTATTTCCAGGTGGTACTGTCATCAACCAATGGATCATTTTCCATTTGATCGAGTAATCATGATAACAGCTCATTCTAGAAAGGCGTAAAACATGTACTTAGTATAGATTATAAAATAGAAAACTAGACCTAGTAGAGCACATACCTCTATCAAGCTGCACCAAATTTCATAATATATATAATATATCTCAAGGCACTTTACAAAGTAAGGTCCAGACCATAAATATTTCACACACTTATCAGTACACTAAATATGCCTGAATATAATTTTGTTTCATGGAGCTCCATGAATAAAATAAATAAATCACCCTCTCGCAAGTTTCCTGCATCTGCACTAATATATAATGGTTTCTTCCCTGACCCACATCCTTGCATCAAGTTTCATGGGAATTCGTTCAATTGTTTTTCTATAATCTTGTGTGCAAACAAGCAAACAGACGTGGCTGAAAACTAAACCAATGAATGAGACAATGAATCACAGATGCTTGTTTGTGGCTGCTAGTGGCAGCATTAGCAACAAAGCTACAGCCATAAGCTTACTGTCCAAAGTAAGAAACAAACACAAGAATCCCAGTTTGAACTAGAAACCAAGCGAGTTTTACTACAATCTTATAGCAGAAATAATGTCCACTGTTCACTCCTGTTTTACTTTGCTTTCTGTCACGCTCTGTGTCTTCTTCACCTCCTCCGACATCAGAGCCATTGTTGTTTTGTCGGGTAGAGTTTCCGCAATTACTCCATCGTCTGCCATTCCACCACCACCTGGGGAAGCTACCGGGGAAAGAGAAAAGCCCTGTTCCGGTTGCACAATGGCAGATGCACTTCCTTTGTGCTGTAAACTGAACCTTATGTATTTACCTCATGATGAGTTAAATCCAACAATTGTTTGTTGTCACTTGAAGTTTTAAGGAAAATAAATCAATTTAAATTAGGCCAACTGTAAATACAACAATAAAAACGAGTCTCTTACTGGAGCTAGCTTTATTTTTACATCATTTAACAGAGGTTAATTAAACTTTGAGTAAGTTTAACCTTGTGGCCATTTTTTTATGTAAAATGTATTTAACAGTAACAAGTAAAACTGCAAGTTGCTGTTTTGAAATTGTTGTACTTTGTTGCTAAAGGTCAGAGGAAGGATGTGTGTACAACACAGACATTCAGATGCATGGCAGAAATGGAAGCTGTTTAATTACACGGCCCCTGAGGCATTTACAAGGTATCACAGACACACACTGGAGACAGAGAGATAATTCTCTGCAACAGTTTTTGTACTTTATGATGCTTGAACTCACAAAGGACACTGGTCCAGTGGTTTGCATGAAAGGGTGAGTTGATTTCCATTTAAGGAAACATAAGTCTTTATCTTATAGCCAAATTAATTTGTTATTCTATCACTGAATATGCAAATGTAGCTATCGGCCTTTTCCGCTGCCAGTTTGAAATGATCACAGCAAATGTCAAAGTGCCAAAGGCCATAACAGACTCGGATGGGCTCTTCACCTCGGCTAATGTAGTAAAAATGTAAGTATTCTTTCTGATAATTCAAACCTCGTCTCTGCTGCTACAGGCAAGCAGGAAGAAAAAGAAATTCGCGGCACTGATATTTTTTCGAGATCCGGTCACAACTCAAGTTGCCGGGGCCCACCTGAGAAACTTTCCAAAGCAGTAAAAACAAAAAGCTTCACTAGTAAAAGTCAAACTCTGAGTCACTGGAGGCTTTATAACTATTTTAAGATTCCTCCTGCTTTTAGGTTTGAGAGGGGGGGAAGACAAGTGAAGTCGGGACACATGTTTCAATGAATGACAAAAATTGAGAGGCAGCGATAAAGTGGGCGCTAAGCACACACTCTCTGTCCTGAGCGTTCCGAATCCCCGGTATGCCCTAGATGTGTAATTGGCATATCCCACTGTACGAGCCGCGTATAATTGGCATATGGCTGGTGGCATTTGTAATCCAGCATGTGAATTATTCTTGGGAGAAGGCGCTATAGGCCCCTGTGAGACGATGTAACAAGCCTAACCGCCAACCTGTAGAGGAGAGATGACAGACTGACACATAACACAGAGGAAGAGAAGGGGGTGATATCCTCATTGGACCCAGAGACGACGTGATCCTATTGCACAGCAGAACAACCCACTAAGTCGTATCAAATTAAAGGAGGGAGAAATGGCTGAAAGATTCTGTTTAGATTTAGGTCAGAAGAAAAACACATTGTGGACAGAGAAAAGGTCTTCGACAGCACAATGGAGACACCCACGTGTGTGTGTATTATGTTCTGTCAGGGAGATCTGGTCTTAGTTATATTCCCTCTTGTTTGCAATCGCACCAGCTCTCAAGTTGGCGCTGTGAAGTTCGACAACCCTCTCCTGAGTGTTGGACTCTAATGCCAATCCCAGTACAGCTGACATGCTCCTTCTGAGAAGTGTCCCTGCACCCGGTGCCTCCGAAGCTCCAGCGTGAACTGTGATTGGTCAGTGGAGCTGCTTCTGTTTTTTAATTTCTGATCCTGGAAGAGATTCCCGACATTTTCATCCCTCTGCTCACTGAGATGCCTGCTTAATATCAATCAGCTGTTTTCAGACATGACAGGAACAGGACGTTTACCAAAACTCATAGGTGAGGAGTGGTGTCTGGGTAGAGCAGAAGGACAATGAAGTATTAATTCCTTCCACTGAAACCTCCACATTTTGGTTCACAACACATCGACACCGGTGTCAGCCCTTATTGCCAAAAGCTCTCAAATCTCATTGTCTTTCTAAGTCTACGTCTTCATCCTCATCTTCTACATGTATGGCAGGCTCTTCTTCATCCTGAGATGAGTTCTTCCAGTTTCACTTCCCTCATGTGTGTTCCAGAAATGTTGCTGCTGTATTCTGACACTGATGTTTTCCACATATAGCCCCTCTAGAAAAGTTCATGGAAATTTCCGAACCGTAAAACACAGTGACCAAACAATGTAAATACAGCGGCTGCATGGCTCAGCCTCACATTCAGAAATGAAACAAGGTGAATCCTCCACCTTCCCTCCTTAGCATAAAGTTAATGAAACCATGTAAACACAGTCACTGTTGGGATATAATTAAAGCATGATAAATCCTAAACAGGTACAATACATCCATCTACTGTTGCAGGGCTGATACCAACAGGAGAAACCAGACGCTGCGCTTTAAATCAAAAGCTGCGACTCCCAGGACGCCCATTAACCTCCTGCATCAAACAGTCAATCTGGCTTTAAACTTTACAGGGCCTCACTTGTTACTACCAGGAGTGTGGAGTGAACTGAAGAATGAGTCTTATAATCGATTATTCATCCTTCATCAAGCAAAATGCCAAATATTCTAGCATTAAAATAAAAAATGTGAGGATTTTCTGATTTTCTTTGACTTAATTTCAAATAGAAAATATTTGGCTTAAAATTGGTGGTCATACAAAAATGATGTCTCTTTGTGAAAAACATTTACTTTTTCAATGCTTTATGAGTTAAACAATTCTTTTTCAAACATTAATGACAAATTTAACATTATTGAAAACAATAATTTGTTATAATTAAATTGAAAAACACGAACAGCTATAATGAAAATATCATGATTAGTAGGTAAGATATTTCCATTAACATTTACAGAGGCAGCCTGGAAGGAGGAAACATAAACTCACTGACAAGCGTCACTGTGGCCAGAAAAAAAACTGTTATAGCTGTAAGTGTTTCCAGTGGAAGGGAAAATAAACGGGGTGGAGTCTGTGTGATCATTACACTGGAAGTGTGCAAATGTATGTGCATTTCCCATGGGTCATGTTTTTATTCCATTACAGCAACAGCACGGCCAACTCTGCACAATAACCTCAAAAGCACGATAAGAACTTGCCGCAGAAAGAGATGCTGCATCGAGTTGTGGGTTTTACTCAAGTTACTCACAGAAAAAACCTCCAAATGAGCGGCTGCCCTCCTCCAACTGTCTGAGTCTATTTTCCATTTTTCCTGCTCATGCATTAGACAAAGTGAGAGGATGGATACAAAGACACAACTAAATCTTTTCTTTACTGTGACTCCCACTCTAACTTCATTTAGAGGTCGTTCTCACAGTAGAGCAGCTGTTCAAGTCCCCAATTAAAATATCATTCACTGCCCTTCATGACCTTCAAAAGCTGTTCGCTTATTTAAAATCTGCACTTAACCCTATACTCACTTACACATCCATCTATCCATCTATTCATCCATCCATCGGATGCACAGAGAACCCAGCTGCTCGTGGATTTCAGTATCTTCCACATAACTTCACGTTGAATACACACAATAATGAATACACTATCCTTTTAAGAACTTTACATTGACTTTCATTCATTGTGGACATCCTACCCAAAACCCAATCCTTATCTGAATCATGACCAATCATTGGAGAACCCTAACCTTACCTAACCACAATTCACATCATACCCTAATCTTAACCCAAACCTAAACCTAATTTTTCTAAACCTAACTGTAAAAGCAGGTTTTAAACACACTTTGAAAAAGTGAGGACTGGCCAAAATGTCGTCATTCTGTTCATACATGATACATGCATACATGTTAGTGAGATGTAATACTGTATCAGCCTTGAACCTTGTGTATTTTTCACTTTAAAGTGTTAACAATATTTAATACGGTCTGAGTTCATTGGACTTTATCCTCTGAATTTGGATTTTGGGGATTGTCTTTGTGAGAAAATGTACCAAATAACTGCCTCTCATTTAACCAGTGGGAGAA